CACAGCCTTTCCAAAGTTTTGAACGTCAGATAGCGAACCTTTCCTGTACAGACCGGGTAGTGACCATCAATTTCCCCTCCCATCACTCCTCCCAGTCCTTCCCACACACCTCCTCTCTCTCTCCCACAAATCAACTCCTCCTCTGTTTCCCTTCAAAGGAAAAAGAGCAAGCCTCACAGGTTATCCACTGAACATGACGTCACAGGACCCTCTTATAAGGACTAGGGGAGGCAACCCAGTAGGAGAAAAAGTGTCCTAAGAGCAGCAGGCAAAAGAGTCAAAGCTGTCTCCCACTCCCATCATTGTGAGTTCCACAATAACACCAAGCAGCACAAATATAAAATATAAGCAGAGGACCTAGCTCAGAATAAAAGATCTGGTTCTCTCAGATGACTCTTTCCTCCCGTAGCACATCCATCTCCATCATGTGTATAAATCATGTCTGTCCTTTCTCACAGTGCAGAAAAATTCTGGAAGTACCTCTTTGTCCCTTGTCTCTTACTCAGGGGCCTCACAACACCTGTCAGCATCCATAAAACTGTCAGGCTCACTTCTTAGCTTGAGTGGGCAAAAAGTCACAAAGCTTCCAAACTTTCTAAAAACATTCTTGACAGTTTAACACACACACACACACACACACACACACACACACACTTTATTTTACCATGTCATCTTCTCTCATCCTTCTTCCCTCTCCCCTTGAAGCCCTCATCTTCCAAACAGGAACCCTTCCTACATTCATGGCTTTCTTGGTATGAGGTATTTATTTATTTATCTATGGTTTTTCGAGACAGGGTTTCTCTGTGGCTTTGGAGGCTGTCCTGGAACTAGCTCTTATAGACCAGGCTGGTCTTGAACTCATAGAGATCCACCTGCCTCTGCCTCCAGAGTGCTGGGATTAAAGATGTGCACCACCACTGCCAGCTTGGTACGAGTTTTAACAGGATTTCTTGCATGAACATGGGTGAGGAAGATATTAACTGTAGCATAGGCAACTTATCTATAGCTACAACAATCAAGAAAATGACAACACTATCCTCAGCAGCTATCAATACTAATAGTCTCCCAATCCTTGATGGGATGTTGACAGCCCCCTCTTGTGCAGGTAAACACAGCTGCAGAGAATTCATGAATGTAACAGCCATGTCATATCCAGAAGTCGTCCTTTTGCAGCAAATCTATTTTCTAGCCATTCTTTCGGTCCCCTCCTCCTGAGTCTTGGAAGAGGTGATATAGATGCTCTATTTAGGGCTGAGCATTTCACTGTCACTGTCTCTCTACTTTGATCAAATACAGGTGTCTACATTAATGGCTGCCTGCTGTAATAAGAAGTTTCTTTGATGAAGGCTGAGAGCTGAATTAATCTGTGGGTGTAAACATGGGAATTTAAAAGGTTGCTTGACAGTGAAAAAAGTGAAGACTGAGAATGAGAAAACATTTTCTTTAAACTCACCTGAGAAGAGGCTGGGAGACGGCTTAATGATTAAGACCTCTTGCTGTTCACGCATAGGACCTGTGTTCCATTCCCAACATCTACGTGGCGGCTTACAACCATCCTTTATTCTCATTTCAGTTCCAGGGGGTTTGAACCCTTCTTCTGACCTCTGCCAGCACCAGGAACACACGTGGTACACATACATACATGCAGGTGGAACATTCATACACGTAAAATAAGGTAAACAAATCTTTGGGAGTTACCTGAAAAAAATGTAAGCTAAAAAAATGTAAAAGAAATAGGTAAGTTAACCTAGATTCAAACCCACTGCATATTTACATACCAAGACATAGATACATAAAAGTTTCACATATCAGCTAAAAATAACTAAGATAAATAAACATAAACATGTCACAGAGTCTTTCAAGAGCCATGTACCCTAAAGCCAGACAGGGAGTGGTAAGGGCTGTATTAGTAACATTTCTCACTGCTGTGGCCCAGTACACGACAAGATGCAATTTAAGGGACCTGGGGGAGAGGTAACCTCAGTAGGGGAATTGCCTTCATCAGATTGACCTGTAGGGAAGTCTGCGAGGCATTTTCTTGATTAATGGTTACTACAAGAGGACCCAGCTCACTGTACATGGCGCCATCCCTAGGCAGGTGGTTCTGGGTGGTGTAAGAAAGCAGGCTGAACAAGCCACCATGGCGATGGAGCCAGTAAGCAGAACTCCTCTGGGATCTCTCCTTCAGTTCCTGCTGCCAGGTTCCTGCTTTTAGGTACTTCTCTGGTGTCTCTCAGTGATGGGATGTGACCTGGAAGTGGTAAGATAGAATAAACCTTTTTCCTTGCCTTGAGCTGCTTTTGATCATGTGATCACCACAGCAACAAGGAGTGACTAACACAGTAGGGAAGGGTTTCCCTTTCCTCACTTGAAGGATATGGTCCCTATCAGGGAAGACACAGCAGGACTTGTGGAAGCAAGAGCATGTATCTGGGGCCACTCCCATGTCAGTAGACCAGGAAGCAAGAGAGGTGGATGCTGGCACTCAGCTTGATTTCTCCTCCGTCTTTCTTTCTATCCAAGCCCCCTGTCCAGATGATGGGTCACCTACATTCAAGATGGGACCTTCCCCATCAGCTAGTCCTATCAAAACAACCCTCTACTACAGAGATGTAGTAATTAAAACAGCTTGGTATTGGCACAAAAACAGACAGGCAGACCAACGGAATTGAATTGAAGACCCTGATATTAACCCACACACCTATGAACACTTGATCTTTGACAAAGAAGTGAAAACTATAAAATGGAAAAAAGGAAGCATCTTCAACAAATGGTGCTGGCATAACTGGATGCTGGCATGTAGAAGACTGCAGATAGATCCATGTCTATCGCCATGCACAAAAGTTAAGTCCAACTGGATCAAAGACCTCAACATAAATCCAGCCACAATGAACCTCACAGAAGAGAAAGTAGGAAGCACCCTTGAAAGAATTGGTACAGGAGACAGCTTCCTGAACATAACACCAGTAGCACAGACACTGAGGTCATTAATAAATGGAACCTCCTGAGACTGACAAGCTTCTGTAAGTTAAAGGACACAGTCAACATGACAAAGCGGCAGCCCACAGAATGGGAAAAGATATTCACTAGCCCCACATCTGACAGAGGGCTGATCTCCAAAATTTACAAAGAACTCAAGAAGCAAGTCTCCAAAGCACCAAAGACTCGAGTTAAAAAGTGGGGTCAAAACTAAATAGAGAATTGTCACTAGAGGAGTCTAAAATGGCTGAGAGCATCCTTAGCCATCAAGGAAACAACTCTGAGATACCATCTCACTCCTGTCAGAATGGCTGAAATCAAAAACGCCAATGACAGTTTATGCTGGAGAGGATGTAGAGAAAGGGGAACACTCCTCCACTGCTGGTGGGAGTGCCAACTCATACAACCATTTTGGAAATCAGTATGGAGATTCCTCAGGAAAATGGAATTCAGTCTCCCAAAAAACCCCACAATTCCACTCTTAGGCATATACCCAAAAGATGCACATTCATACAATAAGGACATCTGTGAACTATGTTCATAGCAGCATTATTTATAAGAGCCAGAACCTTGAAGCCCCTCAACTGACGACTGGATAGAGAAAATGTGGTGCATTTACAAAATGGAGTACTGCTCAGAAGAAAAAAACAACAAAATCTTGAAATTCGCACTAGAAGAAACCATCCTGAATGAGGTAACCCAGTCACAAAAAGACAAACATGGTATGTAGTCACTCATATATGGATTTTAGACATGGATCAGGATAGTGCCAGCATACAGCCTCACTGCCAGAGAGTCTGGGAAACAGAAGGGACCATAAGAGAGATATGCATGGTACCTGGAGAAGGGGAATGGGAGGAAATCTCCTGAGGGGATTGCGAACATGGGGTGAGGAGAGGGGAGAGGAAGCTGGGAGAAAGAGATGGGAAGAAGAGGAAGGGAGAGTCGGACATGGGGGAGCAGGAAGGTTGAATCAAGGGCCACTGTAGGTTTGAGAAGAGATCTGGTACTAAGGAGATTTTTCAGAAATCTAAAAGGATGACACCAACTGGCCAACTAACCAATAGTGGAGAGGCTACCTTAAATGCCGTCCCCTGATAATGAGAATGATGATTACCTTATATGCCATCCTAGAGCCTTCATCCAGTAGCTGATGAAAGCAGAGGCAGCTAAACACTGAACTGAATTCCTGGAATCCAGTTTCAGAGAGGTAGGAGTGATGAGCAAAGGAGTCAAGACCTGGTGGTAAAACTCACAGAGGCAGCTGACCTGAACAAGGTGGAGCTCATGGACCCAAGACTGGTGACTGAGAGGCCGCCATGTGACTGATCCAGACCCCCTGAACGTGGGTGTCAGTGAGGAGACCTTGGCAATCTATGGAACCTTGGATAGTAGTCCAGTATTTTGCCCTGGCATACAAATGGACTTTGGAAGCCCATTCCACGTGGAGGGATGCTGTCTCAACCTGGACACATGGGGGAGGGCCTAGGCCCTGCTCAGGATGATATGATAGACTTTGAAGATTCCCCATGGAGGGCCTTACCCTCCCAGGGAGCAGAGGGGTGATGGGGTGAGGGGTTGGTGGGGGTTAGGGCTGGGGTTTGAGGAGGGGATATAGAGTAGGGGAGGGTAAGAGATCTGGGATTGACAGGTCAAGCAAGTGACTTATTCAGCCTCCAGGGTGGTTTCAGTTAAATTAGCACAATGTCAATATCCTTCCTCTGTATATTTTGCTCACTAAAATTCTACTCACTATTCAATGGGCTTCTCTGACACCACTCATCACAGAAGTAATCTCTTCTTTGAAACTTGGTAATTTATAGTGCCCACATTAACGTTTTAATACAAAATGGTATATATATGTTCTTTCATGCAGGTAGAGTGGGAAGATTGTGTGAAGATGGAGAGAAGACATTCACCATAGAGAAAGCCTCAGGACTCAACTCTGTGAGCACCAGGCTGAGACTTCCAGCCTCCAGAACAACGAGACATAAACAGTAAGAGAAGAACTCTTCTGTTTATATCAGAGTCTATGAAGCTTGTTATCACAGTTCTGGCAAATTAATGAGGTGTTGAATATTTATCCCTTAAATAAATGAAGTTCTTGAGGAAGCGATGATTTGCCCTAATCTCTATTTTTTCATCCACATATTAACCTGCATTGAAATATTATTTGCATTTATTACATCATATATTCTTTCTGGTACAAGTGATAGAAAACCCAACTCAAACATGATAGACATCTATTGACACGTTAAGAACAGACCTCGCTTCAAGAATGTTTTGGTTCAAGGATTCGGATTCCACCGATTGGCCAGGATCTAACACCTCAGGGTTGCTTAGCTCTGTACCAGATCAACCTTAGACTTAATGTAAGGGCAAGATGGCTGTCAGCAGATTCCTGCTTGTGCATTCTCAGTCGAGAAGAGTGTTCAGGAAGGAAGTATTCCTGAGTATTCTCAGTGCAATTTCCCAAGTCGCACCTCACTGTGTTGACAGCTCACTGCTGATCCAATCTGTGTGAGCAGTGGCTATGGTGTTCAGGTCTGAAAGAAAGCCAGAAATGCAATCAGATATCTGATACCCAAAGACTGAGGGGAGATTTGCCCCACGGGAAAGCGGACCCAGGAAAAGGGAGGTGTGCCCTTGATGCCTCTTGGTTCCTCCGTAGGACTATAAAGTTCTCAAGGATTTTGCAGCCTCAGCTCTTTCTTCAGTGTCATAGTTCTCTGAATATAATAATAGGAACCCCCAAGTGTAATTGAATGAATGGCAGCCTCCATGACGAGTGAGAATATCCCATGCTGCTACCAGGACAAGCATACCTATGGCTTCCTCTGGTCAGAGAGCAGCCTGCAGCCTCATAACCTGGCCTTGCCTGGCAGAGAGAAGTGGTTCTCTTCCCCTCTTACAGGCACACACAGGCAGCCTTGGTGAGATAGTAAATATTGGCTTTGTAATAAGATTCTATCAGGACACAAGATCAAATGAATGGGAAACAACCTGAAAGTACAGTGGTCCTACCCTAAAATTTGCTTCTCTCCGCTTCTGCCTGCAAATGGGAATTCCATCAGGTGGGTTACAGAGCCACCTAGTGGAAAAAGTGCATCTGTGCTCTTAGCGTAAACCGGAGATGTGTGTGAATGGTTCTAACCCCGGCGCAAACAGTGCACCCTCCTCATCAGAGGGTCTAATGCTCTCCCTTGCTTCTCCTTCCTTTCTTCTTCATCTTAGAAACATTACCGAGAGTAGAAATCTGAATTAATGGGTAGTCCACATTGGAATTCCATGTCTACTTTCTTGAGTTTTGGGGAAAGGGGAAATACTAATAAGACAGAGATGGTGAAAAAAACTGATTCTTTGTGTCAGCCCTTCTCTTCCTAAAACTTTGAGATCAGGGTTGTCTGGGAGATTTCAAGGTCTTATTTTACACATCTTGTTCTTAGTTAAGTCGATTTGTTTTATGTAAACATACATGTATCACTCCCTTAACTATGCTAATATACATGCATATGTGTGTACACCTATATGCATGTATCACTTCCTTAATCACAAAAGACATATTTTAAGCAGGAAGGAATGAATATTAGTACATCGGGGAATATTTCTCAAGGTCTTAGATGAGAGTGAAATCATTTGCTTGGCTTACCGTAAGTACCTATGCATACGTACAGATGCACCGGACCCTGACTGTGGCTTAGACAGCAACAGGCCCTCACATGTTCAAATGAGAAATCAACCTGCAGACCTTGCTGTCTTGGACACTTCAATCTGCGGAGACTCTGCTTGTGGCAGTGTGAGCCTGTATCTCCTGCCTTTCAGCTGTTTCCTGCAGTGTTTAGAGAAAATGAAGCCAACGGGTGAGGGCGAGATGGCGTTTTACTTGGCGAGTGGATACTCATGAATCAAAGCACAGTGGCTGCAGTCCCTGGGCTTTTTATTTTAGTGCTCTACATAAATAGTATAAGGATTTTAAACAATACTGTATATAATTCAGCAAAAACCAATTGGTGTTTATTAAGGGGTGGTAATTTGTGGCCTGAAGGGCAGACATTAGCTTCTGAGATAGCAATGGGGAAGAATGCTGCAATTCAGAGGCAATCACTACACCAATTGCTATGAGTGGGATAAGATCACCTCTTTGTCAACACCTCCCCCCCGCGGACCCCCCTCCCGTGAGCTCATTACATTGCCTGGCATAGTGTCAAGGACTACTACATGTTAACTGAATGGTTATTCTGCGCATAATGGCCACGGCCAGTACTGTAAAAGAAGGATCTTGGGAAAGGAAGGAAAGAATGAAGAATTGTGTAGAGTGTGCACATAAAAGGCACAGCAGAGAGGAAATCAGTCACCTTGCAGTCTCAGTCACTGGAATGGATGTGGAGGGGGGCAGGGGAGGGAGAGAGAGGAGGAGAGAGGAGGAGAGAGGGAGGGGGAAGGGAGAAGTAGAGGGAGAAAGATTGGAGGGAGGGAAAGAGAGAACAAGAGAGAGAGACAGAGAGAGGCAGAGACAGAGACAGAGGCAGAAGCAGAGGCCGGTATGGATGGAATACAAGCTTATAGAGCAGCAGAGATGAGGATCTGCTTTGTTTAGACTGAGGTTTAATGGACACTGATGTATACTAAGACAGTTCAAAAGGTGAGAGACGGTAAGGATTTAGGTGTACGGGAGAGCAGGTGTTGGAGATAGATTTGGAATTCTGTAATATGGAGGAGGAATTGAATTTGTAAGACATTGAATGAATTGCCTTGGAGGATAGGATGTAACGACAGAAAACAGAGCACATAAATGTGTTTAGGCGAAGCTGCCCAGACCTGGTGTGTGTGTGTGTGTGTGTGTGTGTGTGTGTGTGTGTGTGTGTGTATGTGTGTGTGTGTGTGTGTGTGTGTGTGTGATGCTTGTGATGATCACCAGGGTTTCCTCACTGCTTGCTGAAATCCATATACAACAATAAGATTCTTACTGTTAGTTGAACTCACATTTGATAGCCTTCTCTGGTTGCTAGTGAAACTCGTATTTGCTAAAACCTGGATGAAATTACTGGGGATTGGCTGCTGCTGTTTTCTTACAGTGTGGGAGACAGAGGTCAAGGCCTGAAAGATGCTAGCCACTGCTCTCCATCCCACTAAGGTACACCCACAGCATTTTGCATGAAGACTATATAAAGCTGTTCACGCATGAAGAGGAAAACCCATCTGAGAGAACCCAGAGGAATAAAACATTTTCATTTCTCCGTCCCATTATATTAAAAAGTTCTCAGCAGATATTAAGATACAATTAAAAAGCTTATAGCTGAAGTTCGATCTCAGTCTCAGTCATAGGTATATACAGGTGGTTCTCAAACTGTGTGTCGTGACCCCTTGGCAATCTGTCTCCAGAAACATTTATGTTACAATACACAACAGTAGCTAAATTACACTTAGGAAGTGGGAATGAAATAATTGTTTAGTTGGGGCACACCTCATCATGAACTGTTTCAAAGGGTCAAAGTGCTGGGAAGGTTGAGAACCACTGCTGTACACTTTTCCCTTTCCACTTTTGCTTGTGTGTTTATTTTGTGTGACGATGTTTAAACCTGTGCATCAAATTCTGACAAAGAAAGCCAGCCACTAAAGGACAATCAAAAGGTAAGTCCAGCCCATTTCTACCCACTCTACTGGGACTCAGTAGAAGAGAAAATCAAAGAGAGCTACCCAGACCAGCAACTGAGAGCCCTGAGAATGGCAAATGGGCATATGATGAAGGAACCCATGGCACACAGGGAATAGCTTCAGCCATGTTTCCAGCATGGGAGGATTGTAACTTTGGCAATAAATAATTGTTTTTCAGTGCACTGCCTTGAAACCATCCTCTCATTGCACATTAAGAAAACAATGCCTTTCCCAATAGAAAGACACATCTAGAAATAGGAGACTATCTGGACAGAGAGAGCAGAGCAGCCAAGGGAAGGTCCTGCCCTGAGGAATGATTCATCCAATGGCTAGCTGGAGGACTTGCTGAAGTAAACACACAGAACTTTTCCTGGTGGAAGAAGAAAACAGTCCCTCTGACAAGACTGTGTATGTGTTTATCTCTGTGTGTCAGACTGTGTCTGTGTTTTCTGTGCATGTATCTGCTTGTTTGTGTGTGAGCCTATGTGTATCTGTGCCTGTGTGTGTGTTTTGTGGGAGTCTGTGCTTGTGAGTCTGTATATATCTACGTGTGTTTGTGTGTGAGTCTAGGATTGTGTGTCTGTGCTTATCAGTGTGTGTGTACCTGTGTGTATTTGTGTGTGAATCTGTTTGTGTGTGGCTCTGTGTGTGTGTCAGCGTGGGTGTCTCTGTATGTCAGTATGCCTGTGTGTGTGTGTTACTGTCATCCGTTGGATAGGTAAATGGAAACAACTGACTATTCCATGATGCTCCAAATTTCATGAAAACAATGGCTCATGAAGCAGATATTGCACGGAAGCAGGACCCAGGTGCTTCCTTTCTGAAGGAAACACCCAACACCACCAAACAACACTGAAGCCAGTGTAAACCATGGGGACACATTAACAGAAAAGACTGGTGATTCTCAAAACAAATTAAATTCTTAAAGTCTTATGGCATTGTCACTTCAGCTCCTGGCACTATGAAAAGGAGGAGAAATTAAAAAGCAATCATTTCATTTACTGCATTTGTGTTGAGTTTAGCCAACTACTGCAATAATATCATTTGGCGTGTTCCCCTGTAATTATCCTGTAACTGCACAAAGTAAACAAATTAGAACTATTTATAGCCCAGAACACTCAAGTGGAAATGAGATATTGCCCAAGTACAATTAAAATAAATATAGGCTTCATATTTAATGCAGGCCTTCAAAGTATGTGTCGGAACTTCTAACCCCTCATGCTGTTCTTCTGCTCTTTTAATCTTTACAAAGCAAAGACAATCCCAACAGTGAATCCAATTGAACTCGCTGTCTCATGTGCTTACCAAGTTGCTCAGCCAGGCATTCATTTTTATTCAAGCCGACTGTACAAACCTAACAAGGACATGTTAACTAATATGCAAATGCACAAAATAGTTTAAAAAAAAGAAGTCTCTGCTGTGAGGTGCACTCAAGGGACTTTATGAACCAGTTGAAAGGAATATCATGGTCCAGATTGATAATTTTAAACTTGAATGTGTGTGTGTGTGTGTGTTGGTCAGTGGACAGTCTCTGGAGGCTGGTCAGTCCTTGCCTTTCCACCCTGGTGCTGGCTGACCAATTCCAGAGATTCTCCTGCCTCTGCCTCCCATCTAGGGGCTTGCAGGGATTATGGGCATCTCTGCTATTGTATGCAGCTTTTATGTAGATCATGAGATTTGACCATCATTTTTATCCACTGATCCACCAGCTCAGATTGATACTTAAAAAGAATGTTTTAAGATTTACTTTTAATATTTGTTTTTAATTATATATATATATGTGTGTGTGTGTGTGTGTGTGTGTGTGTGTGTGTGTGTACATTCAGGTATAGGTGTCTCCAGAGGCCTGTGGTATAGGCTCCCCTGGACCCAATCTAGGGTTACAGAAGGTATGTGCCAACTCAGGCCATCTGCAAGAGCAGCATGCTCTCCAGCCCCAACAGGGTTTCCTTTACTGCCATAGATTCCCCTAAGCCCAGATATTAATTTATATGTAAACAAAAGGAAATGCACATCTGGTACAAGAGTAGAAAATTTTGTAGCAAAGTAACATTTAAAAGACGTAACTCCTCTGGACTGGATAGATGGCTCAATGATTAAGAACATTGGCTGCTCTTCCAGAGGACACAGATCCAATTTTCAACACCCACATGGAAGCTCACAATTGCCTGTAACTCCCATCTCAGTGGATCTAAGTCCTTCTTCTGACCTCCATAAGTACTGTACATACATGGTGCACATACATGTAGACACAAAACTGTCATGCATGTGAAATAAAAATAAAGAGAAAAATATCATCTCTTTTAGCAAAACTAAATGTTGTACTGTCTAAGTACAATGAACTAAAACGTGATCCACAGCACTATATATTCTCAATTGTAAAGGGAAAAATTGACCCAGGCCCCTTGGGGTATCGCTGCTCACTGGCTGATGCTCTGCATCCACCATGATACTTCTCCATGCTGTGAGTTCACAGGGTATCAAATGAACTTCCCGGCATTCTTTTATCCATGAAATCCCAAGGCCCCATGGAGCAGGTGCTGGGCTAATCCTTTTCACACAGATGGGTAAAGGAAGGCCAAGGGGAAGAAACAGCCTCAAGATCCCAGTGGGGAAACTGGGTTTTAAGATCTTTATTTTCTCTTGACAAAGAAGAATTCCCAACATACTGTAACGTGAGCTTTCTGGTCCAGTCGGCTAGGTTCTGCCACCCTTCTCTGCCCCCAAAGAAACATGCAGCTGCTATATTAATTATGGAACTGTTGGCCTTTGACTAAGGTTTCTTATTCTTAATCATTAACCAATTTCTATAAATTCAAGTATCTCCTTGTGGTCTTACCTTATTGGAGAAAGGTCCAAGGACTTCTTACTCCTCTGGTGACCTACATCTCAATTGTTCAGCATCTCGGCAGAGAAGAGAGAAGAAAGCGATTTCCTGTTTGTCCCTGATTATATACTAATTCTGTCCAGCTATGTCACTTCCTGCCTGTCTGTACAGACCTCCAGACCTCTATGGTTAGCTAGTGGCAGTTTCCTGGGATCACATGACAACTCCTCTCTCTTGCACTTCCCAGAATCCTCCTTGTCTCCTAGTCCCACCTATCATCTTGTCAGGCCAATCAGGGTTTTATTAATCAACAATAAGACATATATACAGAATGACATCCCCTATCAACATACAGAGCTGAGTAGCATCCCAAGGATATCTAGTCCAGCCTGCTCATTGTTAAGGAAACCCAACATCTGCACAGAGCAGAGGCCATCCCTCTGCTTCAGTGTGTTTGCTTTGGGCTCTGCCTTCTCCCAGACCACAGGTCACCATGGCCCACTGAGGAGTGCAGAGCGTGATTATCATCTACAGACAGCACCTTCCTGTGTGGCTCCCTCTGCAGATCCTCAAGAGCATTTCACAGATATGATTCTTGATCCTCTGGTCAGTGAAAAGGACATCTTTTTCTCACCATTTAACAAGAAGCACAAAACATTCTTCATTCAGAGCCACGTGATGCATCAGAGTCAGAGCCAAGGATTCTGCAGCCTGCAAAAGCAGCGAGCACACCTGCTTTGCTTTCTCAAAGGGAAAGCAACACTGCTGCTAGGCCCAGAGGGATTTCCCTTGATCGCATTAAAATAACATTGCTCCAGGCATTGTAGAACAACATCAGGTAAGGACAAGGCCCATGATGTCCTGAGATCTAATACATTACACAGAGGGAGAATTGTTCACTTAACCCAGAACTAGAGCAAAATTTATGAATCCAACCCTCCCAGAGATAGCTATTTTTCTGATTTGTGTGTTAAAACAAAGAAAGAAACCACAGGGAAGATGATCTAAAATTGTATTTCATTTATCAGGTAAATACAATATACATATGTTTTCTAGCTTGCATTAAGGGTTGGAGATTGATTATATGACAGTGTGAACCCTGTTCAAATGTTGTCATGTCTTTGGAATTTCTGGATTATTCTCTGTACTCATCATGAGTTGTGTCACCACAGAGCAAACACATCAGATCTCAAATGACCTGCAGGGATAGCAGCACTGACTTCCCTGGCTTGCTGTTATCTCTTTTAAAAACATTTATTTTTTGACAGTTTCATTCATTTATCTAATGACTTTTAGTCATTTAATGCTCCCCCAATTTGTCTTCCTCTCCAACTAGAGTCCTTTTCTCAACAAGTCCTCACCCTACTTTCCTGCCTTTCTGATGAGAGTTGAGAGAAGCATTAATCTGTGGATATAAGAATGCATCATTAGTTAATCCTACTAATCCATGAGAATGGGATGAATGTGGCCATTTTCTGATGTCTTCTCTAATTTCTTTCTTCAATGACTTGAAGTTCTTGCCCTACAGATCTTCCATGTTAGTTGGTTAGAGTTACCCCAAGATATTTTATATTATTTGTAGCTATTGTGATGGGTGTCTCCTTTATTTCTTTTTCAGCCCATTTATCATTTGTATATAGGAGGGCTACTGATTTTAAAATTAATTTTGTATCCAGCCACTTCTCTGAGGTGTTTATGAGCTGTAGGAGTTCTCTGGGAGAATTTTTGGGGTCACTGACGTAAACTCTCATATCTTCTGCAAATAGTGATGCTTTGACTTCTTCCTTTCCAATTTGTATCCCTTTGATCTCCTTTTCCTGTCTTACTGCTCTAGGTAAGACTTCAAGTACTATATTGAATGTAGAGTGGACAGCTTTGTTTTGTCTCTGATTTTAGTGAAATTGCTGTAAGTTTTTCTCCATTTAATTTGATATTGGCTATTGGTTTTCTGTATATGGCCTTTATTATATTTAGGTATATCCCTTGTATCCCTGATCTCTCCAAGACTTTTATCATGAAGGGGCACAGCTGTAAAGTACAGGATAACCATGCTACAATCTACAGACCCAGCTAAGTAACAAGGAGAGCTCAAGGGGGGAGAACAGGAATATCACTGTGAAGAGGAAATAGAATGGGCATCACCAGTGGATGAGGAGTATGGAGGTGAGGATGGAAACAGGAGGGATAAGGTAGGGGAGATGAAGAGAGAAAGTACTGGGAGAGACAACTGGAATCAGGGGATGTCTTTGGGAAGAGCTAGAAACCTAGTACAATGGAAACGCTCATGATTTTAAGAGCATGACTCTAGCTAGGACTCCTAGCAATGGAGACCATGGAACCTTAACTGGCCATCTCCTGTAACCAGGCAAGACTTCCGGTGGAGGAATTGGGACACCAACCCAGTCACAAAACCTTTGACCTACAAGTTTTCCTACCTACAAGACATGCAGGGGTAAAGGCAGAGAAGAAATCATGGAAGTAGCAACCAATGGCTGGTCCAGCTTGAGACCCATACTATCAGAGGGAGCTCATCCCTGACACTGCCTGGGGGACCAGGACCCAGAGGCTGGGTAGTATAGAGATCTAGGATAGAACTAAACACGACTGGCAAGAAAGTCAATGAAATATATCCTAATGATATTCTGCTATATTCATAGATTGGTGCCTAGCCCAATGCTCACCAGAGAGGTTTTACCCAGAAAATGATGGTAACAAATGCAGAGATCCACAGACATGCATTAAGGAGAGTTCAGAGAATCCTGAAGAAGCAGAGAGGAAGGATTGTAGGAGCTAACGGGGTCAAGGATACCACAAGAAATCTCATAGAATCAACTAGCCTGAGCTCATAGAAGCTCATAGAGACTGAACTAATAACTAGGGAATCTGCATGAGATTGACATAGGCCCTTTGCATATTTGTGACAGTTGTGTGGCTTGGTCTTCTTGTGGGACTCCTAACAGTGGGAGCAGGGGATATCTTTGACTCTGTTGCCTGTTTTAGGGACCCTTTCCTCCTGTGGTGTTGCTTCATCCAGCCTTAATAGAAGTTGAGGTGCCTAGACTCATTGCAACTTTACATACCATGACTGGTTGATGTCCAAGGGAGGCCTATCCTTTTCTAAAGGGAAATGGAGGAGTCAATAGGGGGGTGAAAGAGAGGAGACGGGGAGGAGGGACTGAAAGGAGAGGAGTGGAAACCACAATCAGGATGTAAAAACAAACAAACAAAAAACCAAACATACACACAAAAAATAAAAACAATACATCATTAGGAGACAGTTTAATGTTGTGTTCCTTCATCAGAGTAATGGCAGTATTTTCTCCTCAAGGTCTATGTCTTATCAAGCCATAGGTTCTTGTCCCAGCTAACAGTGCCAGGTATGAGTTCCAGTTTTAGAAAGAACCTAAAAGTGGTTGATTATTCCCATTACATTCATGCTACTATTGCATTGGCGGGCATATCTTGCCAGGTAGGTTGTTATTGTAACCACAGTTACTTCTCTCCTCCAGGAGCACACACAGAACGCTGCAGCATTGTAAAAGCTAGCCAAGAGGGATGAAGCTGCCAGGTGAGTACCAGCTTGACTTCATGTTCTGTGACTTAAGTATATGAAGTCTTAATAGCACCTTACTGTCAAGGTCTAGATAGCAACTAAGAACAATCACAATATCCTGTAACATGTGGGTGTTGTGGGACATTTTTACACTGTGTGAAGATGTGTTTCTGTGACTGGTGAGATGAAAAGCTAAATGGCCAATAGCTAGGCAGGAGAGAACAGGCAGGACTGCCAGACAGAGAGGTGACATCAGAAGGATGAGTCAAGGTGCATGTGACATGCCACATGTGGCACAAGCTGGGCATACAGGGCAGAGGAAAGGTGACAGACTCAAACTAGAAACAGGTTAATTTCATTATAAGAATTAGTTATAAGCCTAAACTAAGGGCACAGTTTAATAATTAATAAGTTTCTGTGTCATTATTTGTGAGCTGGTGGCCCAATACTTTTGGGGGTCCATGGGATATTACCATTCAATTACTCCAATTGAGGTAACCCATCCCCAACACTGGGCTTTTTGTTTGTTTCTCTGTAGTGTCCAGTAGGAGGATTGTTTCCCCATTATAGACTAACTCCACTTGATATCTTTTTACATTTATGTGTATTTCCAATTTGGGAGGCTTCTGCAGTAGTAGTCTTTCTTGTAGCTGTTTCAGAGGGACTTTAATGTTAGTTAACTCTGTAGTTCCTCCTCTAACCACCCCTTCCATCCCAACTGTGTGTAACCCTTCATGTTCCGTTATTCTCTTTCCCGCTTTATATACCAGATGGTAACAGATGCTGAAGAGGCTGTGAGGTTCTGGGGAATTCTTATCCACTGGTGGTGAGCTGTAAATTTATGTAATCACTATGGAAATCAGCAGAGAGGCAAATCTCAGAGTAGAACTGCCACATGCACCATTTCCATCACTCCTGGGCACATGCACAGAACCCTTTGTCCCACTTCATGGGTCACTTGCATATCCACGGTCACTGCTGCTCTGTTCACCATAGTTAAGAAATAGGGTCAGCGTGGATGCCCATCAACTAATGAATGAGTAATGAAAATGTGGTACATAGGCACGGTGAATTTTTTTAAACTGTAACTAACAAAGAAATTATGGAATTTGAAGGTAAATGGATGGAACTGGGAAACAATTATATTTAGTGATGTCCTTGGTTGCCTAATTGGATTATTTTGTAAGATTGGAGGCACACTGAGAACTCCAGAAGAAAGGAACCAGTTTAGTAATAGAATACCAAACTATGGGTTAAGTGTCTGGCTAACAGAAGAACAAAATACTCAAATGACAAAACTGTAATTAGTTACTGGAGAAAAATTGCTTTCTTTGTAAGGTGTATCTCAATTTTCCCCAAGCCACTCAAGAGGTTTGGAAAAGATCATTGTGAGCCATTAATGAATCCTCTCACCTATGAAAATGTCTGTGCTAGGTGACAAATAAATGTATGTAGCTATAATGTCTATTATAAATACTTTACAAAGAAGATACCCTGGTCTCTGATAAGATTTGAATACCTGG